TAGGGAAAGTTGGGTTTTCGGTGTTGTGTTGAAACTTCCAAATGTAAGGAAAATGTTGGTTGCATTTTGAGGTTTTTGGCTATCCTAGCTGCTTTGCATTGTTGTTAATGTTTGGAAACTGGTTGTATGCATTGAGATTTTCTAAAAATGCAGGATTTCATGAAAAATCGAAGTTCTTGTGTGCTAGTTTTGAGCACGCGTCGGGGGCACATTCATGGTGGCGAGCAGGCCTTTAATAGAGAGTCAAATCTCTCATTCGCGTCTAGCATGGGGTTAGTCACATCGGGCGAGAACTTGAATTTGAGCATGTGGTTGAAGGGCGTCAAGTGTGGGTTGAGGCACGACGGGCGCGATATCAGTAAGTGGTGTTGTGGGTTCTCTACTGAGGTCACGTCGAGGACGAAGAGGAATATGTTGGGTACAACCCTGGCAGAAAGTCACACCATTTTATGCGTTGAGCGTGGGGACTCCCATGCTGGGCGCGGATGAGATAGAGTCTTGGCTTGATTCACGCCAGGCGAAAAGTTAATTTCGCCGGGCGCATTTTAGATGGTGAGTCTCTGGCTTGCCAACAAGCACTAGGGAACACCCTATTTCCCTAACGTTGGGCGTGAGTTGTTTGATAAAGATGAGTGGTGTATGTGTGGATTTAAGTTGTGTATATGTTGCCTATGGTTGATGATGTAGAAATATATAAGTTGTTATGCTGTAAAGTTGTTAAAGTTGATTAAAATCGTAAAGTTGTTTGAGAGCTGTAAAGTTACTTATTCAAGTTGATATTTTGATGACTATAGATGTTAAAGTTGTTTATTTAAGTTGTTATATGATGTTTATTGTTATAAATTTGCAACGTTGAGGGCATATGGTTGATGATATATGTCCTAAGTTGATGATACATATTACTAAGGTGATAAGTTGAAAGTTGTTTTGAAGTTGAATCCCTTAGTATTGTGTGGGTAACATGGAAGTATTCAATCCATGTTATGGTTAAATGACCAAGTGAGTAAGGTATCTAGTTAGAGATGTAGTCTTTGACTAGGCACTGGAGGGTGCGTGGTACTTGGAGGGTAGTGGATGGGCTAACTCCACATGTGGATTGGTGATGCAAGTCAAGGTCGTGGTAGACTTATAACTAAACCCTTCTACCTTGACAATAGTACTAGACCTCCGAGTCTAAGTAGCACACCTGAACAATCAACTATTGTTGTCCATACCTAGTTTTTTTTTGGGTTCCTAACGTTGTCCTATACCTGACCTAGTTGAGATAAGTCTAAAGTTGGATTCTGTAGGTTTATTGCCACCTAAACTGGTCAACCTCAATTATTGGAGATCTCCTAAGTTGTATATACGTGACAACGCATTAGTTGTAGTTGTGTGTTGTGTATGTTTATATATGTGTATGATGTGGTTTAAGTCAAAGTTGAAAGATG